CTTTTTTTGTTTCAACAACGTCTCACCCGGCACAGTGGTCGTAAACTCTTAAATATATTTTACGTAGTAATAAAAATATAACTTGACATACGTATTTATAAATAATTTATATTCAAATTACATCATTTCTATGACCAAGGGCGGCGTAAGGCATGGACGACGTGGGCCACCGCCTATGCCTTGCGGTCCGAAGGGCCTCGCGCCTCGAAGGTTTATGCATTACGTACTTAAAAGCCGTGAACGCGACGAAAAAATTTTACTCGTCGTAAAACGATAAATAGTTTGTCAAATTTTTATTCATAAAAATGCAGCTTCAACTGCTTTTTATTTTATAAAATCCGTCTTCTTGCACCACCAGAGGGCCTTTTAAACAATAGGTAGTCAGTTAGCGTTGGTCAGAAGTAGTCCAAATTCAATACGAACGTTTGTTTCTTGAAAATTTGATCACAATTTAAATACAGTATTTACTTTTAATATTACCGATATGTCATCGAAAAGAAATTGTGTTGTATTATCATTAAAAGACAAATTAAAGTGTTTGTTTCGATTATCCGGATTTTTCCTTATCCGGACTACCTTCATCCCCAATTAGTCCGAATAATCGAGGTTCTAGTGTATATAAGAAATTAAAGTTCATGTTACTATATTAATGATTGTCTATTCTTATTTGAGTTAGTTATGAATGGATTTAAACATAAATAACAGTTTTGTCATTTATGTTATTAAAAGCTTATTACAGTTTAACAAAACATGTACACATTCAAGCTTAAATAGATTTTATACAGAGGCTTAAATTTTGCTACTTCAAAAATTTTCCAGGGCATCTACATAACTGACATAACAGTTGGTGGTGCCGCAGAGAAGGATGGCAAACTACAAGTGGGAGATAAAATTTTATCGATTAATGGAATCAATACGGAGGGACGAACATTCGAACAGGCTTTGACTTTGTTAAATGGAACTGATCGTTTTATTCGTTTAGTCATTCAGAGAGAGAAAGTAAGTATATAAATATAAAGTATATATATATATATATATACAGTGGGTGATCGGTTATTGAACAGATTGGATAACGAACACTTTCGCTAAAGATTTTTATGTTTGGACAACGAACACCTCACAGAACAAACACAAGAAGAAGCGATGTAAAGTAATGAATATCTATTGGTCTTCCCTTGTCTTCAGGCAACAATTTGAAACTTTTCGGAGTGTGGGAGACGTCGACATTGACATCGACACTCAAGCCAGTATATATCGATTGGATAGTATTCCTCCAAACTTTGAAACTCTCCCTTGTAATTCCAGCCTTTTATTTTTCCGACAAAACAATTCTTTTATGTATTTGCGAGACTGTCGGGTAGGCAGTCGTTAAGTTTTGTATCTGTTTTTCTTTTCGAAAGGTGAGAGTATAATAGCAAAGGTAGAGAGTGGGCAGAAGATGCCTAATGGTGTGAACAGGTCTACAGTAGGCCGCAGTTCAATCTTATCTAAGAAAAATACTGTATAATCAAGAAGACTCAAGCAGCTTAAGGAGTAACAAAAATCATATCTGAGAAATAAAAACATTGAAGAGCTCATAATGGAACCTGAAACTGATCTGATGACAGAAGAACACCAAGAAACTCGGCGACATATGTTTTCTTCTGAAAAAGAGGATTAATGCCAATATCTGCTGTTAAAAATCTTTTGAAGACTTAGAATGGCATCCAAACCAGGTTGAGGTTAATAGACTTGGGGATCTACAATTACAATGCTATTAATTACTTCTGAAAAATCCTGAAGAGAGAAAAGCAATCAACATTGGACAGATTCTTTAACCGCTGCAAACAGAAAAAACATGACTAATAAAAATGCAAGACTGTGTATATATGTATTTTTATTATTTCATATAAATAAACATAGTAAGAAAGTATATATTCTTTTATTTTTTGAGGTTTCTAGAATGAATTAATCAAATTTCCATAAAAACCTATGGTAAATTGATAATCGGTTAATGAACAATTCAAATAGCAAATAAAATCTTGGAACAGATTATGTTCGTTAACCAATCACCCACTGTATATGATTTGATTCATACTTGATATCATTTAATAAAATTTGAAAATTTATACATTGAAATCTGATATACAGACATTCAAATCAAAGTCAAGAAACAAATATTAAAATTATATATAAATAATACATTTGTATTTTGATAAATCATTTTGACAAGAATAGATGTCAGATGTAATCAGTGCGGAGTCAATATGAAATATGATCGTTTTTCAAGACAAAACTCTTCACAATTTGAAAACATGATTGATGTGCTGATAAGTAAATTATACATTTTATCAAATAAGAAAATTTTTATGTAAATGAATGTTTTGAATTACTCATGTATTGATTATCAGGTTTAAGAACAGATATTTAAATAAACATACTTAAAGTTTTATTTACATGTTAATCTATATTTGATAATTGTTATTTAATAGATTAAAAAAATGCTCCATTGTATTAAAATTTTTTAATCTATTAAAAGATGTTATTTGTTTATGTTCATATCCAGTTGAAAATGTTATAATTCATAAAACTGTTAATCGACTTCACTTAACTTTAATTCTATTTCTCAATGAAAAATGTAAAACTTTGAAAAGATGAATAATTGTAACACATTTAGATCAATCTCTGGATCCAAACCTATCATATTCAGGTGCAGACATACCCCAACAGGTACATTTTTCAATATTGTAACATTGAAAGAAACATTAACAAACTGAATTCCTATAAATATAGATTATAATCCATAAAAAGTGGGAAATCATCATTATCTGAAAAGTTTACTTAATTCCTTTAATGCATACTGTGTCACAGTTGCATGTCATTCCACTTGTTATTTATTCTACACCTAATCAGTATACCACAACTATCAAAAGTCTCTCTTCTTAATTTTGGAGAGAGAACTACAGATATCTTGTTCTTTCTAAACATAAAGAAATTAAATCAGTCAATAAACTGAATCATAATTCATTTACAAAAGAATGCTAACTCATTGATCTGAATTCCATTAATAATAATATTTGCATCAGTCCAAAACAAGTTCTTCTTCCCAAGGGATTGAGAAAAGTTCAAAATGAGTTAAAATTAAGATGATCAGACAACAGAAGCAGTAAAGACATTAACCTGCTGTTTTGGGATCCAGGTTTGAGTCCAAGTTAGAATTTCATGAGGGGGTCTTGTCAAAATCCATGAAGGACATGAAAGAAGACCTTCTTAATGTTCATCAGGCAGAAAGAGTTAAAAATCATTATCTTGTTATAAACTGGTATGGAATATCAAGTTAATTAATAGCAAGATAGTGGTGACAACTACCTACCTAGATAATTCTTAGCTAACAATAAATATTTTTACATGTTTTAAGAAGAAATAAAAATTTTTAAATCTACTGGCTTTTTAGTAATCAACAACAAACAATACATACCAAAATTAAGTCAGTCATTCAATTTTCATATTGAAGAGCTTATAAGTAAATATCACTAAATTCTTTTAAATAGTTATAGTAAAACATCAAGTTGAACTTCTTTAAGGGATTAAAAAAAATATATTGACTGGATTAAAAAGTTTAATACTCAATTTTCTCAAATTTTTTTGTGGATATAAATTTATCATCATCATGCCATTTCTGGATAAATCTGTTTACAGGATGATTACAAAATTGTATACATTTTACAATGCTTTTGAGCATTGTCAAGGCATCCCCTTTTGTTCCAATCAGAATGCCAATAATATACTGTATTAGTAATAGAATGTGAATACGACATTGTAATGGTGTATTGCATCCTTTCTCAAAGTGGGTGATAATGCCCCCTTATAGGCACTGAAGTCTTTCAGGGGGGCAGTAGAAGGCTCAGTGATTAAATATGAGTTTTATTTCTTCTCATTGAAACATTCTTTGATCTCAGAAATAGGATATGGGTCACACCCTATCTATCATATCCATATAATAATGCATGTTTAAACATTATATTTGCAATAACTGTTTTTATGATACCTTTTTACATTATCATCTGTTGAGTAAGTTAAAAAATATGGGGGCACTAGATTTTTTTTTAATCTCAAAGTGAACAGTGGTCGAAATAAGTTTGAGAACCTGTGGTGTATTGGAGCCATGGTTCACCATGGAGCCATAATGTTTGTTTATCACCATGGAGCCATAATGTTTGTTTCTCTTAACCATATATATTCACCATGGAGCCATAATGTTTGTTTTCTTAACCATATATATTCAAACAGAATATAAAAAAATGAAGATCAAGGACCTATCAGAGTGGAGAGTATGTACACAAAAAAAGTAGGCTCAAGTTAATAATAGTATCAACAATTTTAAATTAACAAGAGCATATTGAAGTATATGGAAAACTCTAGATATTATGCCCAAGACAGACAGCTTTAAATTAATGCAGTTTGACTTAGCAATGTTTTATTCCAACTGTCTGTCATCAATATGTTGTTCCTTAATCTCAAGTACGGAGCTAGATAGATGAAAACCGAGACTAGTTATGGAAAGCTTAGGGGCAGGAGGTCCTGATTAACTATATAGGAACTTCTGGTTTGCACTGGAAGTCACATTATTTCAATTAAAAAAAATTTCCCCTGAAAGGAGTTAGATAGATGACCAGCACAACTCTATTGCTAACAGGAAAAGGATGATGTACAGGGGCAAGCCAGTACCAATTTCAGGTGGAGAGCATATGTTTTAAATTAAATTAATTGAAACTTTAATTAAAAATTGCAGCCCGGCATTATGACAATGAATACTTGCATGTTGTATTTGTTTTTCAGTTCATAAAGATTATTTTAATTTTGACATGTTTTTGTGCAAAAACATGTCAAAATGTTTTGCCTTTCTTCATATATAGAACTTTTCCAAAATAAATTCTATGATGAATTCTGCTATCAAATTTTGTCTAAAAAAATTGAAATCATAAAATGGAAAAAATTACAAGAAAGAAACAAAACATTTCAAGTTCAAGTATAATACTTAAATTTAATGTCATTAACATTTTCAGTCATGTTTAATAACCATCAGGCAGTTGCTTTATGGTGAACTGTGAGCATTAAACCTACAGACACTAAAATTACCAACAGCTCATTACATAAAGTTACTACATAAGAAACCTCACAGTCTACAAGCTCCTTAGAAATGATCCAATCAATCCACAACATGTTCCTGACATATATTTTGTGTTCTAATCAAGGACAACTTCAACACCAAATTGGAATACATTGGACCCACTTCATATTCCCTTGGATCAAAGAAATAACCATAAAAGAAGTATAATGACAGCTTTTTTGGCTTATATGCCATGGAAAATAATGTGGATGTTGACTTCCAATGGAACAAGATATTTAGATGAGTATAGGATCTTACAAATAGTCATGAAAGGCCAAAGCAGTTAATCATGAAGACAATGTTACCTCATGAATGTGGAGAATGTTTAATGAAATTCTGTAAAGGCAAATAGAGATGATAAACTGTTGGAGCTTAGGAGGTTGTGTTTTAATATCTTACAGCACATATTATGTAATTCTATATTTTGTAACTAGTGTAATATGATGTAATTTAAATATATCAATGGCATTTTTCATAATTCTGATTAATCGCGCTGCATATTTCATTTTTAAAATTGGAATTCCAAGTTGTTTGATTGTACATTATTCATAGAATTGCTTAGTAATGGTTGTTATATGGTAAACATAACTGAAAATGTTAATGACATTAAATGTATTGTGCTGGGACTTAAAAGGTTTTGTTTCTTTCTTATATAAGAGTATATTCATTATGAAAAATCATTCATTATATAAACATGTCAAATAGAGAAAATATCTTCAGATGCAAAAATATAAATTAATATTGTATCATATTTCAGAATACTAATTTAAATGTCTTATGAAAATCTGTATTAAGTAGTAGATTATTCTTCATTTAGATTCTTGTTTGGATATGTATTAAATTATTTCAGCAACTTAATAGTGCTGTTTTTTTCCAAACTTATCACAATGACTTCTGTATGTTAAAAAGAATTTTAAAAAGTGTTATAAGTATCAAATAACAAAATGCATTTCAGACCTCATATCATCTCTTCAGTTGTCATACAGTTGTTACATATTAAAATTTTGTGTTAAACCAGATTATTAAATACATATTTGGCTTTCAAATCTTCAAATACATTATTAAAAGCAACAAGTCACATACTAAGCACATATAAGCACACATTTAAAATGTAAATAAAACACAAAGTAAAGAGATTTAAATGTATATTGATTTGATTTGATGTATTTGAAGATTTGAAAGACAAATGTGTATTTAATAATCTGGTTTGTAAGCAAAATTTTAATATGTAACAATACAAAATATATTGTTTGGTGTTAAACCAAACAATATATTTTGTGAAGCAGTTGTTAAAAAAAATTGTAATTGATATCTTTCAAAAATTTGATCAAATCACAATATACTAGGAATTGCAGTCATCAAAACTTTTACTGTAAGGACAAATCTCTGTTAAAAAATAAAACATTTCAAGAAAATGGTTATAAAATGGATTTTTCCCTTCATTAATTCAAAATTTTAAGAGAAGGACAATTCAAACAAAAATAAATTACAATAAGCATAGTAGGCATGACAAACTATGCCTATTATGTAAATATGAGAAAGTCAACTCAACCAAATAATCTAGTTATACCTTGCTAGCTACATTGTTTTTCTTTTTAATCTATAATGGAATGTTTATAGAATGTTAGTTGTCATTAGCTCAGTGTATCACTATTTTACAAGCTGTTTTAATAAATTTAGTAAACTAAAAAGTCATAATTTCAAATTTAAACTTATATTTAATTTTTATGATTCAATAAATATTATGTTTTCTTCTCCTTACTTGTAGAAAGTTTTATTGTGTCCTAAATTTTTTTATTACTTTGTTGGAAATTTCCGATAATTCAAACATTGAATAACTTGAATTATTCTAGGTTCTTTCAGATTTTAAATTAGAACTGTAACCTAAGTTTAAATTTTCACATAAAATTTGAGTTGTATATGAAAATTTAAATTATTACAATGAAATGCTGATTAATTTACATGCATGTAAATTTCTCTACTCTTCTGTATGAAAGAGGTAAATGTACAGTACTTCCAATTCATATAAAATATTCTGTATATTAACAAGTTATTTACATTAGTAATACTAATTATGAGCTATTTAAAAATTTTAATTAGTATTTAATGAAAAATGAAATTTATTATTTAAAAAAAAATATATTTATATATACCCGTTATACTTTGCAAAACTCCTAATGAAATCTTGGCAATTTCTTGTCCACAAATCATATTGTTTCTTTGTCCAAGCTGCCATGGAATAGGTAGTTGATAATTCACAGTTGCCCAATTCCAAATCTGGACTAACTCTTTCTGTTTTGATAGAAACATCAGATTTTACACAGTTCTGATCTACATTCAACTGAGAAGATTGAATGGCTGTATCAGTATTTCCTGAAATAACAAAATTGTTCAACTGTTCAATTTGATCTGCAGTTTGTTGAATATCATTTCTTGATTGAATGAAATCTTCTGTTTCTGAAGAACATTCTGCTTCACTTTCAAATTCATCTTGATTTTCATTGAAAGAATTTTCCACTTCATGAAGATTCTCTAAACCTAGCAGGCCCGATTCATTAGATGCTTTAATTTCTGAAATATTTTGAATCTCTGTTTCATCAAATGATAAATCTTTAATTTTATTCACAGAAGACTGATTGACTAATATCCCTGGTTGAATCTGTTCTTCAGATGTCGTTATAGGTAAATGTTCCGAAGGTGCTTCAGAAATGACAGGTACAGTTCTTGCTTCTAGAGCACCAGAATAGCCAGGAGTCTCTGTAGAATGAATATCTGTTTCTGTGAAGAAATTTAAAAATCATTTTAAATTTTAATAAATATATATATATTATAATAATAACAAAAATTTCTCAAAAAATGCATAAATTCTTTTCTAAATAAATATAGAGTTTAAATTGACAGTATACTATGCTTTCCAAAAATTTACTTTCATACACATTTTAGACATAAATAAAAAAATTTTAATGTATGAAACTATTAAACTAATATATTAGAAGCAAAATCAATAAAGCCAAATTGAATTTAAAATTAATGAGCCATGTCAAAAAAATGGATTTTAGAATCATGTTTACTATGTTAGACAAATTTAAATGTATTTTTTTTAGCTGTGTATTTAATGAAAAAGTGCAATTATGTCTATATCATCTTCTAGTTGCAATGTTAATAAACATGCTGCAATCAATTTTTTTTCTGGTCAATAGTAAAGTTCTGCAACTGCAATAGAATGATAATACGATACAGAGGAAAATCACAAATCAAAATAAAACTTTTGTATAACTAAAATGTATAGAAATGGTAAAACAATGCTAGTGAAAAAGATCATACTTTTTTAAAATCACTTCTGAATGTTTTAACAGCAGTAAACATCATTGACTAAGCTAATCAAGATAATGGTACTGCTTCCATTATTACTAGAATAGCTTAAATATTGTAAAAAATCTTTTGTATAAATTAGATTATCAAACATTCTAAAAATGTTTTCAGTTGGTATTAGGAAGAAGTTTGTGAATTGATATGAGTAATGTTTAGAGAAACAAGATAACTACATTAAAAATTAATAATTCAAAATATTTTACACATTTTATTTTGTCAATTTTCATGGATTTTCATATTATATAAAATGGAAAAAATACAAAATTTTGATAAAAATATGTTTTAAAATTTAACATGTTATGTTTAAATTTAAGTTTATTCTTTGTAGTTTAAATGTACATATAGAAAACAAAATTATTACATGGTATTTGATTGCAGGGACAAAGCTACTAAGTGTTTGAGGGGCATCTCATCCCAATGTTGGCAAATTCTGCTAATAGTTGGCAAAATCACACCAAAAAAGAAAATAATAAATTTTTCAAAATTAAGAGAAAAACAGCAGTATAAAAAAGAGAGATGAGAAGAGTTGTCATAAGTTCAAAACCAGAAATTGGGACATTGTAAATAAGACATCATTATGGTAAAATTTGATGATTACTCAGCATTAGAAAGTAGCTACTCAGGAAAATAGTTTAATTAGAATTATCACTTAATTTTATTGAATTATAAGTTATTGAACATTTTTTATTTGTTGAATCAATTGTGCATGTTTGATTTACATATTTCAATCAAGTTTTTGTTAGAAAACCTAGTTACTCCCATTGTGGACATGAATGAATACATGATAAACATGATTAAAATTAAAAATCCTTTTAGTGCCCATAGGGTAGAAAGAGTAGAATAAATAAATGATAAAATCCAAACTATGGCCAGATTAACCATTGGTCCAGTGCCAAAGATTTCAGGAAACCATCAATAATTTTTAAGCCATCACTCAGCACTACACAGAGCAAACAGAGCATGTCTACCACATATTACTAAAAGTATATACATACAAGGACAGCTGATGTGTGCATGCACAACTCCTGCAGACACCACCACCTACAATTCTTCTTTTGCTGTTTTTAATATAAACTAAAATATTTTCAGGTAGAAACAAACAAATTAGGACATTGTTCCAAATCCTGAAAAATTGGGATGTAAGACAACTATAAGTATGGTCAGGAGAATGGGAGAAGAAGAGCCAGCCTTCTTGACTGACACTTGGTGTTAATAATGATCAATATCAGCCATAAGTATGTCAGCAAAATCAGCCTCCTTGACTCCAAAGATATATGTCTAAATATGTCCCTTTATGAGTGATGCATTACACTTTTTGAAATTATAATATTGATGAAGATTATCTTATGAAATAATTTCAAATTGACAGGAGTTTACCTTGATATAAAAATGGAAAGCATTATGATTATTTTTACATACTTAAATAACTTTGATATACATGATATTCTTAAGAATCAATTAATGCACAATAATAAATACCGAGATGAACAAACTTCATAACAATCAAAAATATCACTAAAAAGCAAACAATAAGTTTTTTTAGATCATATTAATTTTTTGTTTCAAGAGATACAATATGCTTTATGCATTCAATATTATATTAAGAACTAATAAAAGTAGATCAAATCTAATAAGAATAACAATGTTTTAATTTTTTTCAAATTGAAAGTACATTAATTTGAAATTTATTTTGCAAAATTTGAAATTTATTTTGACAGTTAAAGTTGTCAAAATAAATTTCAAATTTTGCCTCTGTTGAAATAAAATAGTAAAACATTAATATTTAAAACAATTAAAAGGCAATACAATAATAAAGTTTAAAATAATTAAGACAAAAATAAAAGAAATAGTTTCATAAGAATAAAATACAGTCAAACCTCATTAATAAGTTATTGGTTTATTCAAAGTCCATATAAATACAAAATTGTGGTCCTGTGGATGAAGATAGGCATTTCAATGTTAAGAAATTTGGTTAATACAAAACATCAGTTAAGATATAATACAAAGCTTGTGGCTCCATTAATTCAATAACAATTATATTATGTCATTTAATACAAAGCACACTTTCTAGATTTCTGAAATCATATGAGCCAATTGGAAAAATACAAGTCATATCCTGACCAGGGCCTTTTTTCAATTTTAATGTTGGCCACAACACTTATGACATCAATACTGTTGTTGATGACAATGCAGACATTGGGGATACACTACCAACAATGTTCACTCCAAATCAAAAACTACTCTCTTATAGTTGTATTGTGCACTGTGACAGTGCCAAACAATTAGTAGTTGTTTCTATACAGCAACCTGACTTGCAGGCGATCTGCTAGAAGGATGCCTTCTGGGAGGACATTCTATGGGAAACTAGCCTCAATTTGGGCCTTACAAAAATGAAGAAATCCCAGAAAATTCAACATGCTAGCTTGTAGGTAAGACATGAACCCATGACCAACTTACCTTATGTAACTTATTTAGATAATAATTTTATTTAAAAATTTATTATTTAACTTGATATTATTTATTTCAGTATATTATTGAATTAATAAAGTAAAACAAATACTAAAAATAAAAACAATTTACTAAATTTTAAGAACTGAAACTTCAAACTTTTAAAAATAGCATTTCTTTTTAGGTACTATTATCTCAACTACAATAGATTACAAATAATTGTTCTCATTCTCACCTAAAGCAGATTTTTATTTAAGAAAAGAAAAATTCAAAAACATTCAGAATCTAATCTGCTTTTCTTGTCACAAATAAACCAGGGATGCTGAAGAGGCACTGTCTGCACACAGTGGCAGATATAAGGTGTATCACCTTATATCTGTCATTAACACATAAAAATTAAAAAGTTACTTGTCCAAACTTCAAATGTTATTTTTAAAAACATTTATGATGGCAAATATGGTTTGTAGCAGTGTTTCTCAACTTTTTTCTCATCATTGACAAGTAAAATTATGGATAACTTTATATGAATCATTAATTATATACAACTATGAATTATGCTTATTTATTATGCCTATATATGCTTATCTAGAGTATGTATAGCAACTCTAGATTACTATTTGGTAATCAGCTGTGCCAGTGTCAATACAAATATTTTTCTGTGGACTGGTGGTTGGGAAACATCTGCAATATTAACATGTGCGTGATGGTTATATAAGTTCCCCTTTAACTTGAAATATTTTTAATTTTTAAGTTAAAGGGGAGGAGCTAAGTACTTCTGGATCTGCCATTGCGAGCGACTGTGTATATGATGATATCAATGGTATTTGTAGTATTTGAATTTACTTTTTTTATCAATGTAATATCTGAGATCTTAAATACTATCTAGTATTTGAGTATCCATAGATAGTATTTTATTCATATTCATGAATTAGTATTAGCCCATCTCTAGAAAAAGTTAAATTTTGAATAATCATTGTATAAACCAAAACTATTTAAAATTATAAGACTGACTTATTAATTAGATGTAAATTATCAAATCAAACAAAATTACAGACAATTACTAGATAATGGATTCAAAGCAAAAACAACCAGAGTATTGGGATAGTTTTCTGAATTTAACAGTTTGAATTCCAACATCATACAACTGTCTTTTAACATCAGACAGAAAAGTTTTTCATGTTTCAATGTAATAACTAAGATGTTTCACTAAACACATTTAACTAAACCTATAACTTCCAGAAACAAAATTTTTAACATGAAAAGTTGACCTGAGGCAGACCTTTGTTAAGGTTGAAAACATTTGTCAGAAACTTTTTACATTAAAAATTTTGTTACAGGAAGTTAAAGGTTTAGTTAAATATGTTTAGTAATTCATTCCAGTATTGAGAAGAAGGTAATTTTATTAAGATATTTCATTTTAATCATAACATAATACAAATGAAATAACTTTTAAAAATTCAGAAATAAAATATAGAAAAGACAATTAAGATACAAATTAAAATCATCAAAATTCAATTTCCAAACTGCAGAAAAAAATTCCTAAAATTTAATAATTAGCCTTATTTCAGTCTGAAAATAATTCAAACTTAATTAATGTTTAGTTATTAAAATCAATTATGGCTTATTATATGTTCAAATATTATTTTTATGTTCAATGCAACTAGTTCCTAACTAATAAAGATAAATAAACAACAATAAAGCAAGTATTTAGGTTTTAACTAATTATTATTCTAAGTCCTGAAAATAGAGAACAGTTTCAAATTTTATCATCTTTGACAATTTGGTAATGTCAAATTTAAAAATGAAATATGATTTCATAACTGGTTAAAATTTCTATCTACTTCTATATCATGAGATCTGATTACATCTCATTTTCTTTGGAGACATTGAAAATTGTTTGATTTTATGCTGTTTATCTAAATTATATTAAAATTCTTAATAATAATAATTAAAAAAAAAATCATTATTTTCCTGTAAAACTCTTGGCCGCTTGGATTTTATCTTTAAACATTACTGTAACTTATATTAAGATCAGAGAGATTCTATCAAACTAATCAAAAAAATTCTTTATATTTAGAATTTCAAAAAAGTAAAGAATTTTCTATTCTATAAATTAAACTAAAAAGTTGAAGCTGTTCTTAAATATATATTTACATTATATTTGTTTGTATAGCAACAGGATTTTAGAGTAGACAGAATTGTTTTTCTTATATTCTGTATACCTATTCAAAAATTCTTTTGCTGAAGAAATTAGAAAAACTTTCAATTTATCAACATATTTAAGTTTACAGACTTGCATTATTTTAAATTTGTAAAACAGGAACTTTTAATGATACACTATCGTTTATAATATTTCTATTAATCTAAAATTAAAACACGAAACTAATTTTCAAACAAAAAACTAAATGAATAAGAAAATAAGTTACATTCCACAATAATAATAGAACATGTACTAAAATATTTCAAAACAGGAAAAAAATATATAGCATTATCATAATATGCACTCATTCTTTTTTAATTCCTTGCATATATATTTAAAATGCATTATTAATATAATGATTATATATTAAAAAAAACAATCTCATAGGCAACAATCTTGCACATCATATATGGATGAAAACAAATCAATTGTTAATATATTAAAAAAGTATATAATTTAGTACTAGAAAACTAAATATAAAATTACTTACCAACAGTTTCTGTGGAATTATTTATATTTGTCTTCTTTTCTTCAGATTGATTCAAAGATTTTGTTTTGTTTATCACTAACTGGTCAATAATATTTGTTAAACGGATTTCTTTCTTCACTTCAATACTATAAAATTAATTTTAAGAAAAATATCTATAAATGATATTATGCAAAATATTTTAAAATTTTATCAAATATTAAAAATACATTAAACAGAAAAAAAATTGACAGTTAATGAAATGTTTATATTTATTTTTAATTAATGATTATGATAAGGAAAGTAAAACAGTAACAGAAAGGTGAATTCTGACAAACAACAATAACAGACAGACAAACTAAGAACTGTGTAGCAATTATATAAAATTAATTCTTACCTAGCATGTGCAAGATGTGCTTACAAAGTATAACTATTATTATTATTATTATTATCAACAATTTTACTATTCATTATGATTGAATAAATTGTCAAGCTTAAACAAGCATTACACGATCTCTAATACCTGTATGTGATTTGTGAATTATCCAAGATACCTGTTTAGTTTTTATTTAGTTAACTGATAAATGATTATTTTAGGACTCAATATTCCATATTGGCTAAACTATATGTTTTCTCATCAATACAAAAAATAATACTTGTATAAAGTCTAAGTTTTATAGTTGGCCTTATTTACATATTAGAGGACTAAGGAATGAAATGTCAAAATTAACTTGAAGTTGAGCTATTTTCATTTAGTCCAACATTTTAAACCAAAACCTCAAAATTACCTTAGCAATAATAAATCAATATAGCAAACTGTAACTGTGTTATGATTTAACATAGAAAGCAATAATGTAAGAATTATAAAAATTTGACCAACTTTAATCTACATAAAATTTCAAATATTTTCATAAATGTGACAATGCATTTATAATTATATAAAATGATATGATACACACAAAACAGAATATCAAATGCTATTAACCTTGTTTCTCTTCAGTTTATACAGTACTGAACCAAATATACAGCATGCTTGGTACCAATAGTAGTATGGATTTCTGGACACAGGCTAAATATATAATTGATATATAAAATAAACAATGGAAAGTTAAGAATTAAATTGTAATGCACCATATGCCAGAAGTCACACTGGAACTAGTATCACATGACAGAAATCAAAACAGAGTGGTTTCACAGCAAACTATGGCTGTACAAATTCTTCCAAATTCAAAACTAGCCAGTTAAAAATAGCTGGTTTTCTGGTAATTCCAGATTTCCGGAAGCCAGATATTTGTTCTGGTACTGTATTGAAAAAACATGCTAATATGAAATATAAATATAATCTATTTGCTCACTTTCATAAAATTTTTGTGTGAGATAAAATTGATCAAGCCAATTAAGTGCATATTTCAAATTTTTTTTTGTAGATAATTGAAAAACTTTTTGATCTTTTTTTCTTTTAACAAATATTTCTTTTAGTTGTGTAAGTTGACTTTACAAAATATATTTTTTTTAAATGAGTGAAAAGCTTTAGCAAACTTTGGATATAGTGGATTGTGTCTAATATATCAGTAATATTTTTAATATGATTCAATCTGAACTGGAGACTTGCATATGAATTATTAATATATTAAGAAATAATTTTATAAATTAAGGATGATTTTTTATAAGAATGAAATATAATAAAGTTAACAAAAAATAATAAACTACAATGAAATATAATAAAGTTAAAATTCACTATTTATTATTCATATTTAAATTTTTCTTATAAAATTGCTATCATCAATAACAAATATATGTCTAAAGGTTTCTTCAGACCATTTTTTATTTAGTACAATATTCATTAACTAAAAAAAATTTATCTATATGATAATTTTCTTCATTACACACACAATACATAGAAACTTTTTATAAACTAATTATATTTTAGAAAATGTAATNTGGAGACGAATTCAGTCAATATATGCATGGTGATGTAAAATGAAAATTGACTCTAGAGCATACTATTGACATTATTTATATCACTCTCATTAAAAGTAATTAATTTATAAATATCTAATTTCTAACAAAGTGGAGAATGATAAGGTAATTTTAAACTCATTTCCTAAAATTTTATCATTAAAAATAAATCAATCATAAAATACCAAATCAAAAACAGTCTTCTGATGTTAGGATCAAATCAAGAATTGATTTTAATAAATCAGATCAAAATCAATCTGATTATTGATTTAAATTGATTTATAAATGAAATAATCTAAAACTGTACTTTGCATCAATAACAACCAGAATGATTATTTTTTGCTTTCAAAAAAAAGATCACGCCAACATCTTGATTTTTAATACCAGAAATGTGTTAAAAAAATTATTTTATACACAAATTTTTCCTACATCAAAAAATAAGGAATTAATCACAGTTACTTTTTACATTCATTCAATAAATGAGAATTTAATTTCTTCAAATTATAAGAGGTAAATAAATAATTATTGACTGATTAATAGCACACAGTTAATATACAAATCATCATCTGCATTACTGCATATAATTAATATATTAGAAGACATAAGACAATTAATATAAAATATTCAGAAACTAAAATACAGCTGGCAAAAAATTATTTCAAACTATACCAAAGAAATTTATTATTACTGTATTCGTATTTGGTTTTAATTATTTATTCACATTTAATTTGTTTTAAAAATTGGCAAAATTTAGAAAACTTTTCACATTCCCATTTGTTATTTCAATGATCCAAAACTAATATTGTTCAAGACACGTATATACTCAAATATAATAAATCTATACTTTCATATCTATACCATCTAAATGTGGCAAATATGAAGTAATATTCATTAAAATTTATATAAAAACCTTTCATATTGTTATTCCTACATTTGACAATGCTCTTCCACATAATTTATTGGATAGTATTTTCACTAAATTTTTGCCAACTTTTAATCGAAAATAAAACAATTTAAATGTATGGATTTTAATGTAAATAATAAAAATTTAATTAAATTATTTACTAATCCTAATCAATAGATTTATAAAATTTATGTATCAACTAAATCAACTAAACTAATAACACATTCAAATTTTTATTTGAATGTTATTAGTTTAGTTGATACATAAATTTTATAACATGCGTAATCAATAATGTATTGATAAATTTTTGGCAATGAATACTTATTTGATATAACATGCCACAAATTCCATAAGAAGATGGAAAGTATCCAAAAATGTTATTCAAGCAGATATTTTTGTCAATCAGATGTAGTAGGTTGGAAGCACCCAACTGATATATCCATCTATATAATCTAAATACAGTGGATGTCAAAGTTATCTACCAAGTAATTCATTACATTTCATAATTTCTCAGATTTTCTAAATAATTCTAGTAGATTTCTACTTCATTAAATAGGATAAATGTCCTCATAAAAACAATAGTAATGAATGAAATTGAAATTAAAACTGCTAAAAATCACGTACACCTTGTAAAAGTTGTGAAGTTTAACAGTATCTGAATTTATGATAAAAATTAGGCCAAGTTGAAATCAAATGAAATTTATTTAAAATGTTTTTAATCAGTCTAATCATCAAACTTAATATTCTAAATCAAACTCTGATCAAAAATGTTTCTCTTAATAAAAACTTTACTTCAGTTGATTCTTATTTCAACAACACTTAAGCTATCTCAGATATATTTTAATAAGAACATTTTTAAAATATAAACAATACATAACTCCTACAAGCACACCAGGTTGTATAAACAAAATTACGACTTACTTAAGCCTGTAACCGATGCAAAATCGTAAAATATTAACGCACAAACGTTTTCTGAACACCTTCCGTGTTCTTCCTCAGGTTACTAAATGATCTATTAGTATTCTAATTCTATTGAACATTTTTGACATGATGCAGATCCTATTGGGATCAAAAATATTTGTCATAATGTATTTATATTAAATTATATTTGCTGGTTTATTTTGAAGGTTTTGTTGGCATTATTTAATATTGTATAACCAGCTTTTGGAAGATTTAGAACAATAAGAAACAATTATTTTAAAAACTAAAAATCAAATATAAAAGTTAGATATTGAGTAATTATAATTAGAATCATTTGCATATCATGTTTTCCATTACATTACGGTAGCTCTAGTGATATGAATTTCCCCAATGAAACTTGATAAGATATTGTTATATTATTCAATGCAAAAAATACAACTAAGAATGATGCCAAATTTATTATGTCTCAATTTCTTTTTCTGTTAAGAATTTTCTTCTTGCTTCTCTCCTTTGTATCTTTTCTGTCCCCTTTTCTTCAATCAAAGACATTCAAGAAAAGTAGAATATCCATAAAACAAATTACAAATTTCACACAAGATAAAGAAAACCGCCAAACTAGACTATTTGTAAATATTAAAAAAATGAAATAGTCATTAAATTAAACATTTATTCTAACTATTTGAATTAAAAAAAGTCTACATTTCGTTTATCAAACTTTTTTATTAATGAGATTATGATAAATTGTCAATGATGAATTAAATGAGAACTAATATTCAATCAAAATATCTAATTTGTTAATATATAAGATAAAGTGGCTTAATAAATAATGAAATATTATTGAATATTAATTATTTACTGAAGAGAGAATCAAATTTTTTAATTCTTCCTCTTCCTCCAGATGAGCTGGAGACGAATTCAGTCAATATATGCATGGTGATGTAAAATGAAAATTGACTCTAGAGCATACTATTGACATTATTTATATCACTCTCATTAAAAAATTAAATGTAAGGGAATATTGTAAACTAATGCCACCTTGGCCATAACCTTTTTACTGCTACATGTACTCAAAATTTAGGCGTCAACTGAAAGTTTGAAATGTTCTCTTTCAAATGCTATCTTCACTTTTCTACATAGTCCCCATCTACAGCACTACACTAACCTATTTCAATGCTGGACAAGTTGTACAGAACTGTTTGCATAAAAATAGAAAATATGGTGGCACACTGGTGCATTTATGATTCTGCATCTGACAAGAAACAAATTTCCCTTGAGATGTTCCTTAAGTTTGTGGATGAGGAAAAAATTGTAGGGTAAAAAAGAAAGAACTGGAGCTTCTTCAATGCTGTATAAAAGCTTATCTAG